TGTAAATCTGACTACTAGATCTAAAGTTATAATCTTTTAAAATGTTAAAAATCCGTTCGGGCCATGTTTTATTAATCAAATTTATGTTTAACCTTAATTTTTTCAAATGAAAATACATTTTTTTATTTATAATGAAAAACAGGTTAACCGGGTTTTTCTCAATTTAAAAATTATCAACCTTTTTTTTTTCAAATGTTAACTATTCGAAACCCGTTTTTTGGAAAATGTCGAATAATCGATCACCCTAATATGTATGTATTAAATATACAAAGATATTGCAAAGAATAAAAATATAAAAACCCTTCAATAATATGACCTATATTAACCTTTTGTATATACACATGTATGAACTTAACAAAAATACTCAGCAAAAACTTACGTTGAAAAATAATGAGAAGGAAGAGGTAGTCAATCGTCCCTGTATAGATTAAAAAGAGGCAGTCAGAAAGGTAATTTAAAGAGTCAGTACATTTCACTTAAGTTTTTTTAGTGTAACTCTCTAAATTACTTGCGGACAGAAAAGTGACGACTGTATTTTCTTTAATTTACAAAAAGTATATTCGTGGCGTAAAAGACGAATCAGAGCCAGGTAGTTAGTTAGACGTTAATGGAAATATTTTTGGACAATGAGTATTTAAACTACTTTTGACTATTACACACTGGCATTTTAACTGTCGAACTTACAACACTACTTCTAAGTTATTCGAATATGTAGTAGTCAGTGAAAAATAATTTGCTGTGTAAGTACAAACTATTACCAAGATTTTGCTGGGTATATACAATTTCAATTTGTTTCTCATGACTCATATGGAAAAACTAAAACAGGTGTAAATGAGAGTGTGAATGTGTATGTCTGCTAGAAATACTTAATAAAACGGTTAAATTATACATATTTATCGTTAATTATTAATGAACTTGAAACCAAACAGTCTTTCTGTTAGCTTTTTCGTTTCTTACCCTCTGTGCCATGTTTTTTGTTTTTATTGTTGTTATGGATTTAATATTTGACATTGAAAGTTTGTATTACATAGTTGTTGTCATATGTATTAATGACATTAAAACACGATTTTTAATGTAAATGAATTCGTAGATACATACATATGTATGTATGTTTGTTTAAATGTCTTTTTAAATTGGATTTTCCCTTTACGCCACAAATTTGTGACCATATTGCAAATAATAAAAATGTGTAATGCATTTTATTTTATAGAATGGAAATTTTTATTACATATACTTGGAAATAAAACAAAAGTATGGTACTTTAGATACAATAACTTTTAAGAAAAGAACATCATTATTATAATCCCTAAAGGATATAAGTTACGACAATTGGATTGGTTCCTTTTTATATAATCCAATATTCCATGAAAGCATAACTGACAAAATAAAAACCCTCAGGATAAAATGTGCTTTAATTTCAGAAAAACACCTCAACGTCAATAATGTTCAAAAGAAAATTTTAAAATCCGACAACAATTAAAAATCCGTTTTTTATTTTGTGAACTTTTTGTAATTTTGTCGCACCGTGTAATAATATATTCAAATTTTTTAAGTCAATTCATGTTATATTATTGAGATTCTTAAAAAGCAAAAAAATCTACTATGTATTTACAAATTACCCAAGCTTTTCTACTTACCATTTAAAGCGTAATTTTCCACATTCGAAGTAACTATCATTTCCGAATTTGTATTTTAAATACAGTTAATACGTAGTAACACCTTTTATTCAACACTAGAAATATTACAAAAACAAATATTTACTTGTTACATGAATTATGTATGTATGTACAGTTGTATATGTAGTAACTTTCAAATTTAAACCCAAACAAATGCGGCGTATAAAAAATCAAACAAACAAACAAGAATCACATTTCAAACAACAAAAGTGAAAACAAATGCGTACGTAAAAAGCTCTTTCTTCTTAGAACTTTAATGTAAAAAAGAAAGTGAAAGTTAAAAAGGATAATAAACAGGATGGTGAATAAAATCGATTTTTCACATATTTGCATGGGGAATTTTAAATGAAATTTAAAAATTTTTATTTTTCTATAAGACAGATATTTTGTATTACCTTGTTTTTGCAGCATACAAAATATGAATTCTATACTTTTTAGTTATTTTCTTTTTAAACTTTTTGCACGAATATTTCAATAAATATCATTTTTATTTGGTAAATAAAAATACTTTTATAGTATCTATTAATCTGGTTCTAAGTGTTTAAAACTTTTACTTTTTGCACGTAACATTTGTTATGATTTTATGTAGCTATTTTAATTTTATCTTTAAAACATTTCAGTTTTAACTAATAAATTTTCACTTTTATAAAAACTTAAAAAATATATTTGTTTTTACATTATTTAAACTAAAAACTTTAAAAATTGTGTATGAATATATATTTTTATTTTTTTTTTTATTATGAACCGTACTCTAAAATAATGTATCTACGTGTGACTCAGTTAATGTCATACAAGTCCTTATTATCTTTGTGTCTAAAGAAAGCTTTGCGTTAAAAAAAAATTAAAAGCTTTCCCTTGTGAGAGAAAGTAATGTCAAATATTGACACAATTTATTGGACAACTGTTGCTTTGTCCTGTAAGGGCGCACATGCCAATCTGTGATGGCTGTTAAAACTGCGGTTACAGCAATAATAACCTAATTCTAAAAAAATAAAAATTAAATTTCTGCGGTTAAATTTTGCGACCCTATATATCACCTGAAGATATCTTTAGGTAATATGTATTTCAAAAGAAACGTGTTCTTAAGACCTTCATGATATTCATAATGACTGGGAAAAGAACTATGTGTTAAGATATCTTCTGAGATATCTTAGGTAGACCGAAACTGAAAATTTTAATTTTAAAATTTTTTGTCGGGATGAAAATTTTAAAATTTTTTTCATCTCCAAATTGACTGACCGTATTTGAGTATACTTATTACAACTAATCTCATATTATTCATACGTACTGTGGTAAATGAGGATATTTGATTTAAGATCAAACATCTTGACTTTCTAAGCATCAGGTCCAAGCGCCTAATATATTTGTTAAATATACTCATAACCAGGGAAATTAAAAATATGCTCAAAAAAGTGCTTTAAGTGCTTAAATTATGCAGTAAAAAACTAAAAATATGCTCTTAAAATTAAAAAAAATATGCTAAAAATTGTTTTTAATTACTTTTTTCAAATTTAAAAGATCAAAAAGACTGAAAATGTAATTGGTTTTGATAATTGATTCAACTCATTGTTTGAGGAACTAGTTTAATAGGATTCCGTGTTACGTTTAGGTAATCAATAAACAATACGAGCCACATTTGGTCCCAAAAAGAACTAATTTCAAAGTTTTTTAATGTACAAAAATTCATTGGTCTCCTGAAAACCAAAGTTATAATATAATGCTTTAAGCTACATCATTGGATTTCATGAGACTAATGTATTTTTTGCCGTTTTTACGCTTTACAAACGAAAATGTAAAACAGACAATCAAACTTCAATAGAAAAATTAAACAAGATTATTTAAGAAGAGGCTCTTACGGATAACTACGAATAAACTAAAATGAAATAAATTTCATCAACAATGAAAGAAAAAATTTAAAAAATAACAAAAACTTAAAATTTTGATATTTAAAACAGTAATAGTTTTAAAAAAACATTAAAAGAAAGATCAAAATGACGAGTGGTGTCTAACTTGCAGCTTGTAAAGCGCGAAAAGTTTGAAAAGCGTTGCCGCCTCAACGCGTGTTTATGAAAAGCTTTTAAGTATAAATTTGTTAACTGTTTTGTTTAGTATATAGTATATAGTATATTGTATATATTTAAAATTATTTTTTTTTTCGAATATAACTTCAAATTTTCGAAAGAAATTTTGAAAATTTGAACATTACATTATATTGTTATCTGATGCATATACATATATACTCCAAATTTCAATATATTTGCGCTACTGGAAGAGTCGTAAAATTCAGTTAAAATTTTCGAAAACATACTAACATAACTCCGAATTTTCGAAATTAATTCCGATGGCATTGTATTCAGGTGTCTTTAACAAACTAACAAAGCAAGTTAAATAAAAGCTTTTAAAAATTAATTATTTAATTTTTTTTATATTTAAAAATAAATTTTTGAAAAACAATGTACAAAAATGTAAAATTAAGGCACACAATTATGCTCTTATGGGTAAAATATGCTCTAACAAATCAATCCAAAATTGTTAAATTTGTCTGGAACGTGTTTTTTTTTCATTTAATGAAAAGTAAACTTTTTGTGTTTTATGAAAATTAGACTTTAGAACTTTATTCCAACTTTTCGACTCTTCAACTTTTTCGACTTTTTTTATTTTTGTCGACTTTTATTTGCAAAATCGATTCTTTGACTTTCACTTACAGATAGTCGACTCTTCAACTTTGTTAAGACATAAAAGTCGACTTCAACTTTTCGACTTTTCCGACATATATCGATTCTTCGAAATTAGTAAGCAGAAGTGTGAAAAGTTTTCATTCTCCGGTTATTGTTTAACCGGTAGATGTTCTGCCGGTTAAAATATTTTTTGTATGAAAACTGTCAAAATATCGTTTCTATAAAAAATAACAAGACATTGAGAAAATGGGGGTTAATCTTTTTAAATGAATGATGAATTTAATATTATTGAAAATTTATTTATTACATTACAAAAGTATTCATATTTTTACAATAAGAATTTGAAAACTAAATTGTTTCCACTGTATTATTACTTTAAAAATACAACACTGTGTTTTATTGACATGCTCACATTTTAGCGCGCTGTCAAAATTGAATTAAAATCAACCGTCAAAACACGCGTTTTCTTGTTCTTTTTTGCTTCTCATTATTTTGTTGTATCTTTTGTCTTGTTCACAAGTTGTGGAATTCTTCTTCAATAAGCGTGCCGGCATTTTTTTTCTCGCAAAGAAAAAATACAGAAAAGCAGTGAAATTATTACAATTTACACAAATATAAATTTAGAAAATATTTATATTAAAAACTCAACAAAATGTTTTGGGGTAAGTAATTATTTATGAAAACAACATTTTTTAAAGCCAACTCTAACCCCCACCACGTGTTGAGCACACTAGTCAGTTTCATCAAATATTAATGTTTTATTTAATTAGGACTTAATTTGAAACCTAACCGTAAATATTCGCAAACAACGGAAAAATCCTTCCACATATCGCAAGCGGCTTTAGATTCTGAATCCTCCCAAGGTGGTCCAACACAGATTTTCATTAGCAGTGAAAATCAACGGTTTTTGGTGTGTACTTTGCGTAAAGATGTCTGTGAACAAGTAATGTTAGATTTGAACTTCAGCGAAGGAAATGAAATATGCTTCCAAAGCATTGGTAAGTCGAAAAAATTGTTATAAAGTAGAATTTATTGTAGACTAGAGTGTGTGTTTTGTTTACTTACTTAATGTTTAGGTAGCGGCAATGTAACTTTGTCCGGCTATGTGATGGAAGATATGGCTGATGATTTCATGAATGGTGATGAGGAAGAAGAGGAAGATGTTGAGTCTGGCTCTGAAACTGAGGAAGTTGATTTACGCAATGCTTTGAATGCCAAGAAAGCTAAAAATAAGAAGGCCGAAAAGGGAAAAGCAGCTGCTAAGGCCGCCAAGGGTGCTGCTGATGAAGAGGACGAAGATGATGAAGAAGATGACAGCGATTTCGATATGGAAAACGACGATTGATGAAGAAGATGCCGAAGGCGAAGAAGATGAAAACGACGAAGAAGATGATGATGAAGACGACGATGAAGAAGAGGAAGATGATGAAGAAGATGAATCCGAAGACGAGGAAGTTCAACAACCTAAGGCTAAACAGGCCAAGTTGGAAAAACCAGAAAAACAACAGAACGGCGTTGCCAAACAAAAGGAACAACAAGCTGAAAAGAAGTCAAAGAAGGAGTTGAAAAAGGAAAAACAACAGCAACAACAAAAGGCACAACAAGAAAAGCCACAAAAAGCAGGCGGTGAACGTGTGTTGTCCGGTGGCGTCAAAGTTGTAGATCTACGCGTTGGTAGCGGCCCTGAGGCCAAACCTGGCAAACGCACACAAGTTTTCTATGAAGGACGTTTATTGTCGAACAACAAAGTCTTCGATAGTCTAAAGTCTGGCGCTGGCTTTAAATTCAGTTTGGGGCGCGGTGAAGTCATCAAGGGTTGGGATGTAGGTGTAGTAGGCATGAAAGTTGGTGGAAAACGTCGCATTACTTGTCCTCCTCATATGGCTTATGGCTCTCGTGGATCTCCACCAGCCATTCCACCAAACAGTACATTGGTCTTTGAAGTTGAACTCAAGGGTGTCAACTAAAAGAAGTTCTTCTAACTTGAAACAAAACATATTTTTAATGAAATTATCTCTAAGTAATTCCATAGTGAGTTTTTTTTTTACATAAAACCAACCATGCCCTTTGATACATTTTAATTTAGCATTAACAATGAACAAGAAAAACACTTCATTTAGTCATTTATTTAGAGTTTTGTTTGCGG